GAGCCAAGATTGCGCCATTGCACTCTAGCCTGGCGACAGAGCAAGACTGGGACCAAAACAAACAAACAAACAAACAAACTAATCAAAAAAATCTTCATCTTGCTTTTTTTTTTGAAGCTACAATTATTTCTTTACTGGATTTAACAACCAAGGCCTAGATAATCTGTGGGAATAATGGGTTAGTTAACCTGTTTATTTGTTGACAAGTATAATATATTTTTGGCAAAAATTAATGTTTTATATTTAATGTGAAAGAAGAGGAATGGTGGGCAGTCCTCTAGGAATTCACACAGGCTTGAGGAGAGAGGTGAGTGTTCTTGTGCAGAGACTGAAAATACTCTTAGCTCAAACCACCATTCCAGAGATGTGATTAGGCAGAGAATGAAATTTTACAATGTTTACCTCTTTGATTTTTTCATTTGCAGTCCAGCATCAGCTCAGTGTACGTATCAGTTTTCATCCTTAAATGTGCGTGAAACCATGCCAGGTGTTTTGCAGAGCTCTAATTGCTGTATGATTTGATGTGACTGTGCGGTGAAGCTGTACTAGTTAATTGTCTTCCTGACTGAATTTCCATCTCCCCAAACATCCTCCCCCATTGTGCCTGAAGGAGCCTATAAAGCTAAAAACAAACAAACAAAAATCTCTCTGAAGAGTGTCTTTCATTTTCAGAAGCATTTGCAATGGGTAGTGGCCTAGTCATAACACGGGCAATAATGATGACAGATAATTGTAATCCTTAAGTGGTTTCAGCTTATGGTTATTAGGGGAGGCAGCAAAGTGAGGGTGGGTGAGTGGGAGAAAAACACAGTTTACTCTGCATTCATCGTCTCTCCCGGCATTTCCAACAACAGAATGAGAAAGTCACCTCTTTGCATTTCCTGCTAGGGTCTGTTCTAGTTTTGATGTGTGGATTTGAATTATAGTCCACTGGTACATTGTGTAATATGCCACATGGTTATTGGAGGAAAATTCATGGAAGCAAATTAGATATTTGATTACCCACTTTAGATAATGATCGATTTCTAGGGCTTCCTGTACACTGCCTTTTTCATGCTAACCAATAGCTCAGGTGACACATAAACAATAGCCTGCTGTAATAAATAATTGCATTACACAATGCTAGTTAAATTTAGAAATCACACTTTTATTGCATTTTTCGCTCATAAAACGTAGTGCCACATAGTAATTGAGATTGAGTTAGAGACTCCTAATGCTTTGCTTCAAAATGTAATCCAGGAATCGTTTCTCTCTGAAGACCTATAGAAAGAGATCCCATGGGTAATAACAGATGACTGAAGAAGACAAGGGTGGGGAGGTGGGGAAGGGGGAGAAAAGGGAAAAGGTCTAAATGAGATTGGAGGGGAGGGAGGGAGGGGATTCAGAGAAAATAAAAAGCTTGATGTGGCAGCTTGCCTCTTTCGAATCCCAGTAAACCATCTTAATGGAAATGGGGGGTAGGGAAGGAAGAGCTCAATGGGAAAAGGCTAAGAAGCAGGCCCTGTGTCCTCAGGAGAGCAAAATGTCTCAGGCAATAAGATGGGAGATTTATTATAAAGAAACAAAATGTGCTGCTTCCCTCTCCCTGGTGTTTCTAAAGCCCTTAGCTTGACAGGAGAATGGAGAATGTAGGCTCCATCTAGTTCTAGTGGCTTCAGGCACATCTCTGGCTGCTTTGAGACTGTCTACTTGCTATGAACCAATTACCTTCCTGCCCCCGTCCCCAAGGATAAGCTGTATTCCCCCATTCCTTAGATAATTCCATCACCATCTCCAAGAAAAACGAAGGTCTCCCAGGTAGCCGGAAGTAGATGGGGAAAATGGAGCTACATTACATTACCTTTATAATTAGAAGATGTACCCTAATCCCAGTACAGCGAGTGATAAACAGTACTCGCAGCATAGCTATCTGGAAGGATGATACTTTCCATTAAAAAAGATGTAGGAAATATATTCTGAACATTTTTTTTTCACCAACCCCAATAAATGTGTTTTCAATATCGTAGCTCAAAATGTAACTGGGAAAGTAAGACCCACCTGGAAGGGAAAATAATCAAATCAAGTCCAACAGGTAAACAAAGAAAGTAAAACCGGAAACTGATTCTGCAAAACTGTTTAAGTTGTGTGGTCTTGGAAAGATTGTTCTTCCTTTCCTGGAGAATCTGATGGTGGCTCTTAAGTCAACCACAGACATGTGAGAACGCTCAAAACTACTACGGCTACTTGTGCCTACAATTTACCTCCTCTTTTCCCCAAACTGGAATAAGTGCTGTCATTTTATGCCCATCATTACATTTTACCTGCTCTTCAAGTTCAACTAAAATTCTATCTCTACTCTCACAAAGCCCACTCTCAGTGTCCTATTCCTTCTTCGAACTTGTATTGTTAATACTAAATGCTTTGATCATAAGGATACCGTAATTTGTAATACGCTTATATTTTCAACTGAAGAGTGAGTTATTTGAGGGCATCAGTCACATCTTGGTTTGTGTGTGTGGGGAGGAAGGGGTTTCACCCATAAACTTAACACAATAATGAACTCATGGATGATGACGCTTAAATGTTTGTTCATTGGCTGACTGATTCAGAAACATGAAGGTCTTCTACGGATGTTCCCTGTAGCATAGGAAAATTTCCATGGCAGGTATGATCATTAAGAAAGAGTGACCACGTATCCTCAAGCTCCAATCACTGCGTAGGCATGGGGTAAAGTGCTCTTCAGTCTGTCAATCAGTATCCAAATGATGGACCCCTGAGCACAGAATTTAGAGTGGATTTCCTTCCACAGTCTGAGTCAGACTCTGACGAGACCTCTTCTCATACGACCCCCCATCCAAATTTACTTTGTTCTTGTGCGTCCCTTTCCCCTGCTGACCACTTGGAACAGACCAACCAGCCTGGCTGTTCGAGGTCTGTGTTACCGAATCAACAATAAAAAAGTTGAATGACTTGAACAGGGGTAGCTTGGGGAACCTTAAGGGGGCCCTTGAAAGTGAAATCACTTAATAACTTGTAGACACACGATCAACTTCGGACCTAAAAGCTTAATTATGATCGGGAGCTACACACTGCAAGTCACTGAGGCAAACCAATGCAGAAACATAGCCTGCTCTTACATGTGTATGACTGTGTCCTATCAGACATGGCAATCTGGAAGGATGGATTCAACAATGTGTGGGTCCTGCTAATTGAAGGCTTGGATTCAAGCTTTTACTGGAATCATCAATGGAAACTCAGTCCTCCAAAGTTCTCCTCTCATTGGTGGGGCCTCCAGCGCGGTTCAGGTGCTTTCTGGGGTGATCATTAAAGTTCCTCTCTTTGCCAACAGGAGGTCATCATTCACACTTTCTGACCATACTGCAGTTTTGCTAGTTGCTGTGTTGCTACTGTCTTTTAATTACTGGGTTCCTATAAACACTGCCTTGTTGATTGAGTCTGGGCTTTTCTCTGATTGAGGTTCAGAGACTGGAATGGGTGTCACATGTCTCCTCCAATTCATAAAAAGGCAACTTATTGTTTGAATACTATTCATTCATTCATTCACTTGGCACCTGATTCTGTAAGATGTTAGAGACAGTATAATAAATGAAGGGAAAGATAAAATACATAGCTATAGAAATCAGTAACAAAGAAGGATATGGGTAGGAAGCTAATAAAGCAAGGAGCGAGCATACTACACCAAAAGGCATATCGCAGACATCTGACCTTGCGGAGTTTTTAGATGTGGGATATAAATTTGGCTTAAAAATTCCTAGCAGCCGGCTGGGCGTGGTGGCTCACACCTATAATCCCAGCACTTTGGGATGCCAAGGCGGGTGGATCACCTGAGGCCAGGAGTTCGAGACCAGCCTGGCCAACCTGGTGAAACCTCGTCTCTACTAAAAAAACAAAAATTAGCTAGGTGTGGTGGCGGGCGCCTGTAATCCCAGCTACTCGGGAGGCTGAGGCAGGAGAACTGCACGAACCTAGAAGGTGGAGGTTGCAGTGAGCCGAGATCGGCCATTGCACCGCAGCGTGGGTGACAGAGAGACACCCCTTCCCCCCTCACAAAAAAAATTCCTAACAGCCATAACAAAGATGGAAACCAAATAGGTATAGAATTCGCTATGTTCACATTTACAAACAAAGCAACTATTTAGGGATGCAGCTTTTCTTGATGTTGATAGCAACAATAAACTCTTTCCCACGGGTTTGGGTAAGGCGGACACTGTGTCAATGTAGAGGATGATGCCTTCGGCAGCATCTTTGTGTTAGATTCCTTTTGTCCTTCAGTGTTGGATTATGCTGTCCTTCAGCGTCAAGCTGATGGCTGTGTGGCTTGCTCATGCTCTTGCTTGAATCAAAAGCTTAAATTTGAAATGTCTGGGAGGATTGACAGGTTGCAAATTCTCCAGGCACTTTTCCATCAGTATTATTTCGGGCAAGTGCTTTCTATCTGTCTTAACTCCTAAGAGGCAGTACAGTGAGTAAACATTTAGGCTCTGGAATCAGACTACCTGGGTTCAAGTTCCATCTCTGCTACTATTACCTTCAGTTTCTTTATCATGATAAAGGATAATACATACCTCATAGAGATGTTCTCAACATGACGTGAGGTAATGCTTTTTATTATTTTCTTTTTAAAATTCTCCTTATGTTGCCCAGGCTGGTCTTCAACTCCTGGGCTCAAGTGATCCTCCTGCCCTGGCTTCCCAAATCCGGGGATTACAGGTGTGGGCCACCATGCCCAGCTGAGGTAATGTATATAAAGTGCTTAGCACTGGGAATACTCAATAAACATGAGCCATTGTTGTTAGACTACAAACAGAGTGGATTTACCGTCAAAGCGCCTTCTGAGAGACATACTGCTCCTTTTTCGCTTGCCCTCTCTCTGTCTTTCTTTCTTTTTTTTTTTAACCATGCAACAATGTCTTTTATTATGTATCCGGGTTTAAAATTATTTATTGAATCTCTCCATACACAGGCAAAAATAAGTGTCATTTAACATACTGGAAATTGCCTAACTCAATCATTGCCTAGAGAAGGGAAAATTATCCCCAAAACGTGCTTAACCAGGAGGCCAATGCATCTGCTGACCTCTAAGAACATGGAGATGAAAGTGATAGACAGACTGTTCCACCATGTGAACCTTCATTCACTACCATTCAGTAACCCTTATTCAGGCCCAGATCCGCAGCACATTTCTTGCCAAAAATTATTAAGCATCCAAGAAGACTTTCATCATCATCTTCTGCTGCAGAAATCTGGGATATATGTTTCTTGGGTACTACCAGAAAATGTGTTGGTGCTTGAGGAGAAATGTCGTGGAAAGCAAGGCACTGGTCATCCTCAAAAATGATTTTGGCTGGGATTTCCTTGCGGATGATCTTCCCGAAGATCGTATCGCCACCAGGCCAAGCAACCTGAACCTTGGCGATCTCATCTGCCATCTCTGCCAAGGGAGAGGCTCGAAAGGAGGGAGGAACCCTCGGAGCCTGCCCTCTCTCTTTCTTTCAGCGGTAGGAAGATTATCAGAATGCCCCCATGAGTCATGGATGCTTCTTGCTGACATCCAGACAGGATCCCTTTATTGAGCTTGACCTCTTATTTCCCCGGAATGGACAGGTTCTCCATTTGGCATCCACAGCAGGTATTGAAGGGATAGCCCCATTTTCAACCTTGGAGAATTTCCAAACCTGATTTTTTCAGTTCCCTTCATTTCGCATGATGTGTTTTAACTCCTTTTATAAAGAAAACTCTGGCTCGTCTACCTTGACCTACCTACCTACATTCCTGAGAGGCGCACAGAGTGTAAGGCTTCTTTTGAGATACTTGATATTCACATCCTGATAGGCCACATTAGGGCTGGAGGTTGCATATTTGGCCTCAGAGTTCAGTCAGCACAGCGTTTCCTAAATGTGAAACCTTTCAGGACACGTGCTCTCTAATTTCCACTGTTCATGCAGTCAGTATAGGTGAAGCCACACTGGGGTTGCGACATAAAGGAAAAATAAGTGTACTACCGATCTGGTCTCTATTTAGAAATTTGATAGTTTGTTAAAAATACATAGATTTTGCCGGGTGTGGTGGCTCACGCCTGTAATCCTAGCACTTTGGGAGGCTGATGTGGGTGGATCACCTGAGGTCAGAAGTTCAAAACCAGCCTGGCCAACATGGTGAAACCCCATCTCTACTAAAAAAACAAAAAAATAGCCAGGTGTGGTGGTGCATGCCTGTAATCCTAGCAGCTCGGGAGGCTGAGGAAGGAGAATTGCTTGAACCTGGGAGATGGAGGATGCAGTGAGCCTAGATTGCGCCATTGCACTCCAGCCTGGGCAACAAGAGTGAAACTCTATCTCAAACAAACAAACAAACAAAAACATAGATTTTTGACGTAATTTTGTTTTATGAAAATATTATGTTGATTACTGAGTTTTTGGCACCCCCGAAAATTTTGGACCTAAGGCCAATGCCTCACTTTCCTGCAGGAATGCTGGTCCCCGCCTTGCCTGCAGAGCCAGCCACCTGCAAGGTCCCGGTTCTCGAAGGTAACTGAACTCTAGACTCTAAGGCACTTGCTCCCCAATGCAGGTCTGTGACAAAATTTTCATCCAATTGAGAACAAATAAGAAAAGGAAGGACAAACATTAAAATTTAAAAATCAAGCTAAGTTGAAATAACAAGATAATGCCCTTTAAACTCTTTTCGAATGAACATTTATTTAAAAAACAGAACCTGGAAAAATATTATTATTACTTAAAGTAATGACGCTAGTGGATGGTAGCTGCTTTTTATCGGGCAAAACAAAAATTGGTGACTCAACTAAAAAAACAACGATCTACTCCAAATATTCCTACAACGTGAAGCTCTTCTCTAGGAGCTGGTCATCCCTCTGACTCAGGACAGCTAAGGAGGAGCAACGACAGAGGTGTGGTGGCTGCAAGTCCACGGCAGGGAGGGAGAGATCAGGAAGCTGGCAGAGAGGAAACGAGGCACCTGATAGGGATGATGGAAGGATGATGGCTGACAGTCTCCTGTGTTCCACCAGGGGCGGGCTCTCCCGGATGCAGAGGCCCGGAAGCAGGTGGCAGGAAGCGGAAACGCGCCAAAACCAAGGGCAAATACGGAGCCGCGGCGGGAGGGGCGGTGCCGAGGCAGGCGCATGCGCTGTTTTCCAGCTGGCGTCCGTTCCGGCCTCTCTTCATGGTGCTTTAAGTGCACCAGGGTGTAAACTCAGAAAGATTTTTTAGTATATGTAGTGAGTTTATAAAACCAAGAAAGATATAGATGTGTTGAATACGAAACAATCCCTGGAAAGCTAGGACTCTAGGCCCGCATTATATTTATTGAAGGAAGCATAATTTTACATAGCAGGCAGCAGACAAATGGTACCAAGGAAGGTGAGAGCTAAGGAATGCAGGTACGTTCAGGGTGATAAATCCAAGGCCGATTTTCCTAGAAACTGTAATGTCTGCAGGAACATTCCCTATGTTTGGAAAAAGCAGAGGTTTTATTTTTTCTGGATTTTACTCATCAGCATAATCATCATCAATATTATTATTTTTTCCATTGGATATAGTTTGAAGTTAGATTCAGAGGAATCAAACCTAAGTTTTAGCTTTTTCATTTACATTGTTAGCTGTATTACTTCAAAGAGGTCGTTGTATTCCCTCAGGCCTGGTCTTCCTCATCTGTAAAAAGATAGAATTGGTCAGGTACAGTGGCTCATGCTTGTAATCCTAGCACTTTGGGAGGCCGACGCGGGTGGATCATCTGAGGTCAGGAGTTCAAGACCAGCTTTGCCAAAGTGGTGAAACACCTTCTCAGCAAAAATACAAAATTAGCCCGGCGCGGTGGTGCATGTCTGTAATCCTAGCTACTCAGGAGGCTGAGGCAGGAGAATTGCTTGAACCTGGGAGGTGGAGATTGCAGTGAGCCAAGATTGCCCATTACACTCCAGCCTGGGCTACAGAGCAAAACTCTTGTCTGAAAAAAAAAAAAAAAAAAAAGAAAAGAAAGAAAAGAAAAAGATAGAATTGAACATTATTGGATTATCTTGAATTACAAAATGATACACTTTGTCATGGTTTTTCTGGTGACCTGGAGGGAACTCCTAAAAGCACTTCTTGATGCCCTCTCTCAAGTTCAGAACGATGCCTTGGACCAGAGCTGCCTGTAGGGAAATTTCCACCTTCATTCTGGTATGTTACTATGCAGTTTCTTATAGGATTAAGTTCTGTGGGACCGAAAGGAGGCCCTTGAATTTCTTTGGGCCTCATTCTGCTGTATCTGTAAGACTCTGTTTCTAATGCCCTTATCGCAATCTTGATGTTTTCCAGATGAAAGAATTAACTACAGTAATGCATCACTTAAGGATGTGGATATGTCTGAGAAATACGTTGTTAGGTGATTTCATCGTTGTGTGACCACAACAGAGTGTGCCTGCACAAACCCAGATGTGAAAGCCTAGGCTATATGGTATAGCCGATTGCTTCTAGGCTACAAACCTGTACAGCATGGTACTGTACTGAATATGGTAGGTAATTATAATACAATGAAAAGTATTTATGTATCTAAACATAGATAAGGTACAGCAAAAATATGGTATAAAAGATTAAAAAAAGGTACACACTTGTATAGGGTACTTGCCGTGAATGCATCTTGCAGGACTAGAGGTTGCTCTGGTGTCCGAGTGAATAGGTGTAGGGCTTTACTGGACACTACTGCAGAGTTTATAAACACTGCACACTTAGGCTACTAAATTTTTGAAAACCATTTTTCTTTTTCAATAATAAATTAACCTTAGCTTCCTGTAAGTTGTTTCTTACTTTATAAACTACTTCTTAAAACGTTTTGACTCTTTTCTAGTAACACAGCTTAAAACACAAAAACACGCTGTATAGCTGAACAAAAATATTTTTTTCCTTAAGTCTTTTTTCTATAATTTTTCAATTGTTTTACTTTTTAATTTCTTCTGTTAAAAATGAAGACACACACACACACACACACACACACACACACTCACACACTAGCTTTGGCCTACACAGGGTCAGGATCATCGATATCACTGTCTTCCAACCCACATCTTGTCTCATTGGAAGGCGTTCAGGGGCGGGAACATACACGGAGCTGTCATCTCCTATGATAAAAATGTCTTCTTCTGGAATTCCTCCTGAAGGACCTGCCTGAATCTGTTTCACACTCAGCTTTTTCTTTCTTTCTTTCTTTTTTTTTTTTTTTTGAGACACAGTCTCCAGGCCAGAGTGCAGTGGTGTGATCTGGGCCCACTGCAACCTCCGCCTCCTGGGTTCAAGCAATTCTTCTGCCACAGCTTCCTGAGTAGCTGGGATTACCGGCACCTGCCATCATGCCCTGCTAGTTTTTTTGTATTTTTGTAGAGATGGTGTTTCACCATATTGGCCAAGCTGGCCTTGAACTCCTGACCTCAGGTGATACGCGTACCTTGGTCTCCCTAAGTGCTTGGATTTCAGGTGTGAGCCACTGCACCCCACCAACTTCTCTTTTTCCAATAAGTAGAAGGAATATACTCTAAAATAACCATCAAACTATAGTATAATAAATGCATAAACCAGTAACATAATCATTTATTATTATTATTACCAAGTGTTAGGTACTGTACATAATTGTATGTGCTATACTTTTTAATAACTGGCAGTGTGGTAGGTTTGTTTACACCAGCATCACTAAAACCACGTGACTAATGCATTGTGCTATGTTGCTGTAACAATAGGAGCTAGGGATTTTTCTGTTCTATTATAATCTTGTTGGCCCCTCGCCATATATGTGGTCCATTGTTGACTGAACTGTTGGTATATAGTGCATGGCTCTATTGTTTTATTTGTTAACATGAATGTCAGTGACAGGAACTTTGAGAAGCAGAGTTGACTTAGCAAGCAACACTCAGTAGCACTCCATCCTCCATCCTGTCGCCCGCCAGCAAATCTCTTCCAATCCATTGACTGAGGTGCTTGGAATTTCATGATTCATTTATTTGCTTTTGGGTTTTCCCTACTTCTTAGGGCTGCCGTTTAATTAGTGATGGCTTGATGTTTTTGTTTTCCTCCCTTTAACGGTCATGGTGGTCTTACTCATGCCTGTATCCAACCATGTATGCAGGGCACTGTCCCAGCATGCTCCTGCTCCCTGGCACCCGTGGCCAACATTATAATGAGCAGGGAGGCAGCATCCAACTGCCCAGAAACTCAGCTCCCAGACTAGAGAAATTCTCTACTGAAGAGTTTCAAATGTTTCAAGGGCCATACAAGTTTCTAGTAAAAACACACTCAAGACAGGTAATTCAGGGAGCAGCTAATTCTTTAATTTAAAAGTCACCACTGAAGTATGACTAGCACTGGCCCTGTTGCTTTGGGAAATGTGATAAAACTCACCAAATCATGATTGCACAGTTTTTGCTTACCTTGAGCTGCCAT